AGCCGGCCCCCCTCCGAGATGCTTCGGAGGGATCGGACGGATCGGGGGGATCGGGGACCCGGGGGCCCGAAGGCTTGCGGAAGGCAGCCGGGCGCGCCGGAGGCGCCAGGCGAGCTGTAGCGGTGGTCCCCGCCTTGATCCCTCCACCCTCTTCCCACCCCCCCCCCCCTTGCCTCGGGGGCGACCTCTGCGTCTGCGACGGAGGGCGCGCATTGGGCCGAGGCGCCCCGCCCGCCCCGCCTGCTGCGGATGCAGGCCGCGCCCGTGCCCACTGCGTCAACCCTCCCCTTTCCCCGCCCTCCCTCCGCCCCCCCCCACCTCCCCACCCGTCGTTTTTGCCCCCCTCGCACCCCGCCACGAATCTTGCGGTCGCAGGGTCGAGTCTGCAGTAAACGCCTCGAGCGAAACGCCGAAGCCAGCCACCGGCACACTCAAAAGGGTTATTACCTTTGAGGGCGCGCGCAGAGGCGCGCTCACGAGCCGGGCTGCGGGCGCGCTTGCAGGAGGGCGCTCGCGCGGGCGTTTCTCTTACCAGCCTGGAGCATAACTATCCCTATCCCTAAGCTGGGCATCGCCTCATCACAATGCCAATCTTAGGGACTCCCTTATTTTTTGAGGGCGCATCCCTAAGATTGCCACCGCCGTTTGGCGTGTCAATCTTAGGGACAGGAATAAGTTCGAGGCTGGTAATTCTCGGGCGCAGGGCGGAGCACCTTGCCATGCGACGCTGCGCGCTGCATCGGCGTGTGGCGCGCCTGGATCCCAGGGGCGTGCTCCGGGCGCCGTGCGCGGCCGCCTGCAGTGGGGCGCGCGTGCGCTACGAGGGCGAGCCCGCGGGCGATCCCCACCGGTGCCCCTCTTAATGTTCGCTGTTTGTTGTTTTTGTTTATTTTGCTTGTTTGCTTGTTTTTTTGTGTTGTTTGTTTATCATGTGTTTGCTGTTGTTGTTGTTGTTGAACATTATTAATTCTAAAGAATAATTATTGTTGGGCCCCCTGGTGCACGCCCCCCCCCCCGCGCCTAGGCCGCAGCCACATTTTCATAATTTTCGTGAGGAAGTCTCAGGTAAAACGATGTCATCCAGATGCGGTTGTTTTGTTGACGCCCGCTTTCCCTGTCAAAAAACACTATAAAATGACATGTCTTGTTCTAACATAACCAAACTTCAAGAATCCTGTGCAACAAATGACACGAAGTGCACACTCGCGCGCGCAAGATGAAATCCTTCCAAAACCTTAGTTTTCGTAGCGATTTTAACATAAAAACATGAAAAACCCAATGGTTTTTCAAAACAAAAGTTTCAAAACATCATCTTGCGCGCTCTTGCGGATTTCTGAGGAAACCCAATATTTTTTCAACATTTCTGTCAAACGGGCTCTTGCGAGCAACTTTTTCACGTGCTTCGAACTTCTGCAACAACGGTTGCGCGCCTGCCAGGGCCATCATCCCTGTCAAATAATACCATATGGGACACATTCGTTTTTCTTCGCGCGCGCACTGCGGCGGTCGTCGGCCGCGGGGCCCTGAATAGTAGCCACGGTCGTCCGCATGCCACGAAGTGAAAGTGTCCGAAACGTCATAGGGCGGAAGCTGGGTGGGAGGGTGGTGGCCGAAAGAGTCTATGGAAAATTGTGGTAAGAGCTTGAACCGGCCGACCCCCAACCACAAGAGGGGTATTGCCCCGCCTCCTATAAAAACCCTGGCACGGTGAGGGAAAACGGAGTGTCCCCAGTCCCCCCACCCCCCCCACCACCCCCCCCCCGATTTTAAAAAAAATGATTGTTGTTGTGTTGTTGTTTGTTTACCGAAGATTAAAACAACCACCATTATTTCTTCTTAGAAATAATTATTGATGGGACCCCTGGTGCACGCCCCCCCTGCGCCGCCTAGGCCGCAGCTACATTTTCATCATTTTTCGTGAGGAAGCCTCAGGTAAAACGATGTGATCCAGATCCGGTTGTTTTGTTGTAATCCGTTTTCCCTTGCAAAAAACACTATAAAATGACATTTCTTGTTCTAATATAATCAAATTTCAAGAATCCCTTGCAAAATATAAGGTAAAGTGGACATTCGCGCGCGCAAGACGAAATCCTTCCAAAAGCTTCGGGCATAAATAAAAATAGAGGTTACGTAAACGATTTTAAAAAAAAAAAACAAAACGATAAAAACATCAAAAACAACCCAATTGGTAATTTTAAGAAAAAAATGTCAAAATGTCCTTCCACGCGCGCTGTCCGAATCCTACAAAACCAATGGTTTTTCAACATTTATGTTACATGAGCTCGCGCGAGCTACTTTTTCTTGTTCTAACATAATCAAATTTCAATAATCCCTTGCAAAAAATAAAATAAAGTGGACATTCGCGCGCGCAAGACGAAATCCTTCCAGAACCTTAGGTTTCGTAACGATTTCAACATAAAAACATCAAAAAGCCAATGGTTTTTCAAAAAAAAATGTCCAAAATTCATCCCGCGCGCGCTGTCCGACTCCCACAAAACCAATGGTTTTTCAACATTTATGTTACATGAGCTCGCGCGAGCTACTTTTTCTTGTTCTAACATAATCAAATTTCAATACTCCCTTGCAAAAAAAAGTAAAGTGGACATTCGCGCGCGCAAGACCAACAAAAAAACACGACGATCTCAGGAACTTGCCCCAAAAATGTGACCAACTCCGCTCTCTCTGTCTCTCTCTCTGTCTGCTCTCTGTCTCTCTCTCTGTCTGTCTGTGTCATGTATTGTATGTCACAATTGCAGGATGCTGGGCACACGCGCGCCCCGACTAAGTGACCAAGTTCTGTGGGTGTGTACCCCACGCCAGTGTAGTAGCCACGGTCGTCCGCACGCCACGAATTGAAGTGTCCCAACGTCATAGGGCGGGAAGCTGGGTTTGGGTGGTCGCGAAGAGTCGTTTGGATATTTGGTAGAGCTTGTAATGCCCCCCCACGAAGTGGGGGTATTGCCTGGTGTCGTATGAAAACCTTGGCACTGGGGAGAACACCACGCGTTCGGGTAAAATGATTGTTGTTGTTGTTGTTGTTGTTGTTGTTGTTGTTGAACCTTAATTACTAAACAATTATTATTGTTGGACCCCCTATATTCGCCCTGGCGCTCTCGCCGAGGCGCCGGCCGCATTTCCTCTCAAATTGAGGCTCACGCTCAGGCGTTTTGGGGTTCCGCCAAAACCGGCCCCCCAACAACAACAACGCTCCGGCTCGAGACTTCCTCCTTTTTTACTCGGGCTCGGTGCTCTTGCTCGCCGCCGAGAGCGGCTCCCGGGCCGGACGCCCGGGTCGGCGCCCGAGCTGGCGCCCGGGCGCCGGAAAATCGAGTTCCGAGGCGGCGCCGACAAAAGGCCATTCCAATACACATTTTTCTTTTGAAAATGCTGAATTTCTGCTTCCGGCGTCCCCGGAGGGGAGGGAGCCGTCGCCGTCGATTCCGGAGACTCGGCCGGCACCCGGTGCCCTGCTCCCTGGCCGGACGCCCGGGTCGGCGTCCGATCCGGCGCCCCGCAGCACGGACCGAAAATTCTAGTTCTCCGCCCCAAGCGCCGAAAAAGGGCCATACCATACACATTTTTTTCAGTCGGGAGAAATGCTGAATTTCTGCTTCCGTCGCCGGAGGCCGTCCCGGGCCGATTCCGGAGCTTCGGGCCGGCCCCCAGGCCCGGCTCCCGGCCGGACGCCCCCGGTCGCGCCCTAGCCGGCGCCCGGCGCAGGAAAAATCGATTCCGAGGCGGCGCCTACTAACCAAGCCACTCCAATACCACATTTTTTTCAAAATAAAAATGCTGAGTTGGGAGGAGGCCGCGGCGCCGATTCTGAGCTCGACCGCCACCCCGCACGGCTCCCGGGCCGGGCGCCCGGGTCGGCGCCCGAGCCGGCGCCCGGGCGCCGGAAAATCGAGTTCCGAGGCGGCGCCGAAAAAAGGCCATTCCAATACACATTTTTCTGTCGAAAATGCTGAATTTCTGCTTCCGGCGCCCGAGAGGCCGTCCGTGCCGATCCCAGACTCTCATTTTCTCTTCTTTTTTAAACATGTCTAAAAATTAGAGATGGGTCTCTAAAATTTAGAGATCTCTAAAATTGGGAGGTTGTTCAGGTTTGATCATGTTTGTTTTCGCTCAGATAAGGAATAAGGTTTGCTCATGTTTGTTTTCGCTCAATGGCAATATCATATCCAACGTGTTGCGCGTCTACGCATTTAAATACGCGCGTGAATGTGTCAAGCGTGTATAGGCACATCTATGTATATGCATACACATATGATTTGGTAGAATATTCTAAACGTACCATATCTTACCTAGCCTATCAAAAAATATGCATCTTGTCTTACCATATGACTATATATATATGTGTCATGTGTTCTTTTCTTTATCTTATGTATATTATTAGATCTTATCATATCTCATTTTATTGTTTATGTTATGGAACATATCGTATCTTCTTACTTCGCATCTTATTTCATCTTACAGAATCGAATATTATATTATACGTATGATCGACTCTATCTTGCATTATTTGATCCCATATCATCGTTTCTTATTTACCTTATATGATATACACTATCCTGCCTTATTCTATATATAAGCTTATCGTATACCATGTTATCTCATCAATTTTTCTAATCTGGTCTTATGCATTATATCTTTCTTATCGAATCTTATTTAATCGCTTCGCTCATTCCGCCGGCCCATATTGTCGCACCGTTGTGGGTTAGCCGAGTTTTGGGGCCTCTTGGGGGCCGTTTTGGGGCCTCGTGGGGCCTCTTTGGGGCCTCTTGGGCGCCTCTTGGGGCGTCTTGGGGGCCTCTTGGGGGCCTCTTGGGGCCTTTTTGGGGCCTCCTGGGCGCCTTCTGGGGCGGAGGGCTCGATTTTTCAGTTCTCGGTTCCCCTCTTGAGCCCCTCTTGGGCCCGTCTTGGGACTCTTTGTTTTTTTTCTCACGCGCTCCCAAGCCGAACGCCGTATTCAAGCGACCGCCCTCCACGCTAGATCTCGACGTCCATCTTGAGCCTGCGGCGCAGCATGCGCTTGTCCCTCCCACCAGCGCGAAGCCAACGATCATAAGCGACCTGCTCGACGTCTTCTGGGTCGGTCGACTCTTTCAGCTTCTTGATGCGCTCTGCCTTGCGCTTGCCGCCGCTCTTTTTCTTTTTTGTCTGCTGCACTGCGCTGCTGCTGGGCTTGTGGTCGTCGTGCTCGATGTGCTGCGCGCTGCCGTTGGAGTTGTGGTCGACGTGCTCGATGTGCTGCGCGTTGCCGCTGGACTTCTGTTCGACGTGCAGGATGTGCTGCGCGCTGCTGCTAGAAGTATTCATGAGCTCCCTGCCTTGCCTCAATATCCGATTACCTTGTTCAAGCAACAATGATACTTGAGCTTTCCTCGCCATGCGTTGGATCATCTCGCGCTTTGAAGCTACATCCTTTGTCTTGAGAAATTTGTGGCGGACCTCTATGGGAGAAAGCATGACTACACTGAAGCTCGAGCCTTAATGGTTACGGAAGCCAGGCAAATACGTGCATGCATTTATACATGTGCGTGTGGGGAATAAGATAAGATAGACCAGATACAACAAGTTACATTAAAATGATATACGGTATGATAGGATCATATAAGATAATATCACAAAGATGCGATAAAGTCACGCCAAGATGGGTCAAGATGATATAACATACGATTGATAAGAACTCATAGTGTAGATGTGCTTCACAGTCGTGCTGCGCACCATCCTGCTGGGGGCTCCCTGGCTAGGCTCCAAGAGGGGCCCAGAAAAGTGTTGCGAAATTGACGGGGGACCAGAAGGCGGGAAGCCCTGATATGTGTATGTGCGTTATTGTTATATATATATATATATATATATATATATTTAAAGCCACCAAATCCCAAAGCGTCAGACCAGCAGCAGGGGAAGATGGGTCGGGGGTCCAGGAACCCAAAAAGGGGCCCAAAAACGGTCCCCAGAAAAATCCAGAAAAATCTGGGGACCCTTCTGGGGCTTATTTTTGGGGGTATCTCGCCTCTCCATCCTCCTTCCCCCCACCGACCAAACTCTCTGGGCGTTAGTGTTATATGTTTTTGTTGTTCGGTCCGCGGGTCTGGGAGTGGCTCTGGAGTTCGAGCGCGCTAGCCTGCTGAGCACAATGCCACCAGGCGTTCTAGTGCTGCGTCCTTCGTCGCTGGCAGCGTCTTGGCCTCAATCTCGTCCTTGATGATGCGCATGAATTCGTCGAACTTCTCCGAGCGGCTTGCCCTGCAGCCTATGAGGTATTTTCCGTTCATCATGAGGTAAGCTTCTCGCTTCTCGATCGGCTTCGACCTCGTTACCTTGTGGATCTTCATCTCCTTGTTCGGCTCTGCGGCTGGCACCTCTGCGGCTGGAGGGGGTGCCGCCTCTGCGGCTGGCGCCTGCGGCGCTGCCTCTGCGGGGCTCTTGGTCTTGAGTCGTTTTCTGCTACTGGTTGCTCCGCTGTTCTGCTGACGGTGGGCCTTGGCCTTCTCTTTCTCTTGTTCTTTTTCAGCTTTGGACTGTTTCAGCGCCTGCTTCACCGCGCCTCTCTGCGCAGGGACGAACTCCTTCAACTGCTTCGCCGCTGCGGCCGTGTCGCTATCCTCGTCGTCGGGAGAGTCCGCGTTCACCACTGTCGGCACGTAGCAAGCAGGGCATCGACAGGTGACTGAGCAAACCTGCACACTCGACGATGACGTATCGCTTGGCCTCTCGACCAATGGCCTCTGCATCTGATCATCTTGCTGTTGCTGGACCTGTGGCGCCCTAACTGGTGCCGACTGGGGCCGCGGTCCTCCCGATCCAGAGGGAATGTGATCGATCATGTCCATGAGCTCCTTGACCTTAGGCTTCACGTACTGGGTCGTGCTTTTGCTGAGGTCGCGAACGTGCCTACATACTGTGCACACGCGGTTGCTGACGGCGTCGAGCCAGAGATCCACTCTTCCTCTGTACTCGTTCTTGCTGTGCTCCGTCATGATCCCATGCTCGTCCTGCAACCGTGACCAAGTCAACCTGACCGCTTGTTTTATTGGCAACCCTTTGGGGGCGACGCCCAACACTGGCTTGAGTATGGGATAATACTCCTCGAGGGCATCTCGATCAGCTGCCTGACTCCGCTTTCGTTTCCCATAGTGCAAGAAGTCGAAGTCGCAAGGCGGCTTCTTCAGTCTAGCCACAGGTGCCAGGGCTGCCACAAGTACATCTGGGTCAAAGCGGTCACACGTAGAGCCCTCTTGGCGACCTACCATAAGCGCGAACTCAACAGATCAGAACCATCGCTCCACAGCCGAGATGGCTACGGTCGGCAACAGCAAAGTTTATAGGCGTTGCTTTTCATCTGTATGTGGTGTAAAATGGTGTTTTCTTTATTGATTGTCTTGCTTTTCTTTATATGTTTCGTTTGTATTGTCATTTGTATGTTCTTTTTTCGTTTTATTGCGTTCGTGTTTATTGGTCACGCTTATCTAGTCAGCCCGAAGGCCGACCAGAATGCGAAGACCATTCTAGTCAGCCCGGAGGCCGACCAGAAGGCCGATACTTGGTCTGGTCGTCGCCCTCTCCAGGGGGGGGGGAGATAATGAAATAAGGAACAAAATTCCCTGGGGGTTGGGAGCCCGAAGACAAACGGATTAGGCAAACGTCCAGCCTGCGTGCGACGGCCATCTTGGGATATCGTTGTTTGCCACCCTACGCGCAAACAAATGGAATACTGACGTCCTCCCCGATGGACTCAGCTGTCGGCCGTCTTGCTGGCCTCGGCGTCAGCGGTCTTGGGGGCCATCTGCTTCTCGACCGACGCCATGACGTTCAACTTCTTGTTGAGATTTTTCTTCACATCGTCGAGCTCCCTCGCAATGGACTCGCAATTAGAAAGGTCAGCCTGCGCGATCGGCTCATCTGAGGCCATTGCTGACTCCAAGAACTTCGTCAACTTCTTGTCGTGCGCCTGCATCTTCTTCCACATGGCCAACGATTCGCTGTAGAGCTCCGCGACGTACCTGAGGGAGGTGAACAAAGACACATGTTGCGGGCATGCCAAAGAAACAGTGCAAAATAAAAAGAAAGATATAACGTCAATGATGATCAAGACATTTCAAAGAGTTTTCAAGATTTTCAAAACTTTCAAAGATTTTCAAAGATTTTCAAAGATGTTCAAAGATGTTCAAAGATTTTCAAAGATTTTCAAAGATTTTCAAAGATTTTGTCATCATAAATCATGTTGACAATCTTTGAAAATCTTTGAACATCTTTGAAAATCTCTGAACATCTCTGACACTCTTTGAAAATATATTCTTTGTTTGCTGTTGTGTCTTCCGATGGTTCCATAATTTCCACCACCACCGATGGTTCCACAATTTCTCTGCATGGCCCCACTTGGAACCCTTCCATCGGATGTACTTTCATCACATTGGGTCCAAAGGTACCTGTTGTCCTTGTACTTGCCCAGCCGCATCTTGATGCCGATTGAGGCGTTCTGGTGGGCGTTGTGGGTCTTGCGGATGACCGACATCGACTTCTTGTTATGTTCGTCCCTCTCTGGATCGTCGTCGTCCTCCTCTGGCGGAACAGCGTCGGTAGAGCGCGTCGCGCCTGTCTCTATAGACGTCAGCGTAGACTCCACCTCCGAAACTTTCTTGTATTCCAGCCTCTCGTGCTCTGGAAGGGACTTGGTGCTCTCAGCCTCCGCATCGAGCTTGCTGTGCGGCCTCGTGATGACCGTCTTCTGCTGGATCTGCACATTCACCAACGCTTCGCCGTCGAGGTCAGTGATCTGCTTCCAGCTCATCCACGTTCCCGTCTCGCTGTTGGTGTCGACCTTGGCCACCTTCTCGAACCTGCGAAAGTATTCGGACTCGAAGTTGCCTGCAATCACTTCCTCTACGAATTTCCTCTTCTCGGGATTGTTCATTTTCGAGAATTTGAGATGTTTATTGTAGAACTGGCGAGCTGCGGACGGTGCACTCTTGATTCTGTAGTTGAAGTCGTTCATCACTTTTGCCTTATTCTCCTCCCCCTCGACTCGCGAAGCCAAGCACTTCGACCCCTCGGCCTTCACTTTGGCGGCGGCAACCTTCTTTTGCACCATGGCCCGAACACAAACTGGCCTGTGCCCCCACAAAGGTTTGAGCCAAAATGGGCTATTTGTTCGACTGGCTGGTCTGGCTGGCCTGGTTGGTCTGTTTAGTGTGGTGTGTCTGCTTGGTCTGGTTGGTCTGGTTTGCTTGGCTGGTTAAGTTCACTGTGTATGTGTACTTGTATGTGTGTATGCGTATTCGTAAGTGTGCTGTTGTATGTAAATAAGATGCATGTGTGCAACATGTGTTCGCGCATACGTGCGTGTTTATGCGCAGGAAAACAAAAACAGTTCTAGATTGCACAACACTTGCAACACAAATGTACCTACATGGCATAGCCCACATGCGTAACGATCTCTACTAATCTGTGCGTATCTAAGAGTGCAAATATACACACGTGCACGAGAACATGCGAGCCCATCACATAATGCACAAGCTACATTGATCATATGTTCTATGCATGCGGACACATGCTCATGTTTATGTGTAATTATATTTGTACGCACATATATATATATACACGTGCACTAAAGTACAACATGAATGTGCACGCATGTGGACCGTTGTCCGCACCACTGTTTGCAGCAGCCACGTTGGAGGGACCATTTTGAGACCATTATGTTTGCTATATAAAACATATGTGTACATATATATATATATATGTATGTTCCTGTTCACGTACACGAATATGCACACCAGAGCAATTTTGGCTGAATCAATCTGTGCTCAAACCACGTTGGCTCAAGGTTTTGCCTCGCGCCGCGTGGCTACGCAATATTTTGGCTCAAGCAAATTGGGATCAAGCCACCTGGAACGTTTAGGTCACCTCTAGTCAGCTGTATGGCCGACCAGACCGATTTGTTTTTTTCCAACGGCGCTGAGGGCTGGGAGCAACATCTCCGATGTCGCAGGAAGTAGCAGTCGTCTGCTAGCGCGCGCCTGGGACCCAATCCAAAATCATTCCTGTGCAATACTTCTTAAGAACTGTTCTCCCGCTCACTTCATGATGGGGGCCCGACATGGAACATTTATATATGTTTGCAAATGTGCCCACCATACTCTCGTTAACGTAGCCTTGAACCCGTGCTGGGTTGATCAGCCGAGCTTGCCAAACGAGATGGGCGATCATGTAATGCAATTTCGGCCTTTGTTGCCATCTATAGTGCTCGCCGTTTCGCAGCGCCTCGACTGCCAGCCACTGATAATGAATCCCAAGGTTGAAGCAGCTTGTCTCTAGCCTCCTGATCTCTTCTATACCGTGAAAGAAGCCTGCTCCATAACAAACCTCATAAATAGCATCCAACGAAGCAACGACTTTCAACATATGTTTGTTCTGAGGCGTCGGGTTCAGCCGCACTGCTCGCTCCTGTAGATCCAGACAATACTTGACGCAAGACCTCGTGTTCGCAGCTTTCACAAGGGGCCCCTTCAAGTCTGGAAAATTATCACCACCACTGCAAATATTCTCCTGCTTCAGCGGGGGTAAACGATTCCCTACACCCTCTATTGAATAATACCCCCTGATGTCGTCATTCAGAAAACCCAACCTCTCTTGCTTATTTGGCCCAGGGAGTGGCCCATCCCTGTTGCAGAGATGGGTCTCAAAGACGTTGCCGAGCACACTATTTGCAATTCCATGGTGGTCTGCCATGTGCATAAGATCTACTCTGTAACTGTAAATTGAAAACCACGCGTGGTCAACTAACGGGTGGTGAGGTTGTCGAAATCGCGCCTTGAATTGCACATTGTCTACTACGCTGCCGCGCCACAGGGCCCCTGCAGAGTTGTCGGTGTGCGGGCAAGCGCCATCACCTGCCAAGCAATAGCCACAGATTTCATTCGAGTTGTAATGGGCCATGCCTACTTCGTTGCACATGTATTCCAAATCGCTACCCAAAAAAAGCAAAATTCCGCCCCACCCATCAGCTGGCACAGGCGATGCGAGCCGCTCGAACGAATCCATAATTTGGCCCCACGAGCGATCTGGCAACTGTTCGGATAGCTTGTGTGCAGTCCCCATGATTATTCTGGTTTCGCGGTCGCTGCCTTTCCCGAGCAGCGAATAGAACACTCGAACAAATGCTGACTGAGATTTTCCAGTTACGCCTGCGTCGTCAAACATCATCAAAGGCAAATGTCTACCCAAATCTTGCGGTCGCCTGTCCTTCAGCCATGGGTGCAATTCCCACATTCTCTTCCCCTCGTCGCTGCTCCGAAATTGCCTCCACCATTTCGCAACGCCTTCTCTCGCCCCGAAATGTATTCCGAATTTCACATCATTTAAGCCCAGCAACCAATGGAAACCGTCATATGGAAGCACAACATCCCGAATTTTGCCTTCGAACCTTTGGAAAGGCGGAAAGCGATCCCGAGGCGTGATCGCCTCAACCATTCGTTCAGCGTTGGCCAAATTGCCGTTCAAACTAGCAAGTCGCTTGATGATGTCGTTCGGGGCATCTGTCTGAGCTCTGGACCTGGATATAGCCTTGCGCGCTACAGTTGCTGCTGTAATTTCGCCCCAAGCCCAATCACCAAGCCAATCTGTTACCTCTGGACAAAAACCTAATGGCCCACGATCAACAGCCCGCTCTCGCGAGCGAGATCTCGCAGCAAGTCGCTGCAGTAACCCAGGCATGTAGACATGCCATGTTACATGGAAACTACATTGAAGCCTGTGCCAAAATGGCTGCGAGTGTACGCGTGGAGCAGGCAGGTGAAGATGTGGAACGAGAGCACTTTAAAACGTACGTCGGGCGAGCCCAAACCAAGAATGTAACAATACACTATGAAGTCTGGTCTGGTGAGTCGGCCAGACCGCAACCAACCAATCAATCAAACACGTTTGTCAGCCAGAGAACCGACCAAGCCGCACGTCTAGTTCAGCTGGGGTGCTGACCAGACTGCTTGCATAGAAGTCAGATTATATATATATATACACAAAACCAAATCTGTTCATATATATATATATATATACACATATATAGACACTTACATTTATATATATATATATCCATATATACATACATAGGCTTACACACATGCGCTTGTACATATGCGTACACATACCCATTTACGTATACGCATGCACATATACATACACGTACACGTATACGTACACATACACAGACAGATACACATACGCATACGTGCCTAAAATGCCACACATTCGTAGTATCCCCCACATAAGCATAAAACATTGCGCACTGGTCGATCAGGATTCTTGTGACATGTGTGTGTGTGTGTGCCATGGCAAGTTCACAACGGAACGCTATAGCTAACGCACCTCTTAATTTTAGCGCCATCTCTAATTTTTAGACATGTTTTTTAAAAAAGAGAAAATGAGAGTCTGGGTCCTGCAGCGGGCACTGAGGAGCCGGCGCCCCTGGGCAGGCCGGGCAGGGCGGCACCGCGGGGCAGGCGCAATGGCAGTCCGGGCACTCCAGCGCCGGGCACGGCGGCGGCGGGGGCGCCCGACTCAACCAGGAGGCCACGCCATGCGACAGCTGGGTGAGGGCTCCGACCGCCCACGGAGGCACCTTGCCCCGTGGGGAAAAGCTTGAGCGAAACGTCAACGGAAGATCGCAGACGGGCGGCCAGCAACGCTTCCCAAGGAGCAACCCTGTTCAGAGAACGATTTATTATGATGCGAATGCCAATCTGCGAATGATGAGTCGTACTAGCATTGGTAGTGGTACAAGCACGGTTGATAATTCGAATATGAATACTCGCATCGTAATGCGAATGGGAATGCTCATATTGATACAACTCATGGCCTCGTGCCTTCCTGCATGGCGTGGCGGGCCAGTTCTGGAATTCGAGCGGACACGCGAACCAAGAAACAACCACCACCAGCTTTGACTTCTCGCTCTCCCGGACGGGGCTGGCAACTCACGATGAAACCCGAGTGGTTTCTGGATGCATTCGCAAACTCAGGAACCAACGTGTGTAGAGCAGGCCTGCAAACATCCTCGAGGGGGTCATGGATAAGCGTGCATTTTAAAGTGGCCCTCGGGCAACACGTGCAAGAACACAATCAACGAGGACCTCCCGCCCTCCCCGGGGGTGCCACGGAATTGGCGCCGCACGAGCCCGTGCCACCCTGCTTGGCACACGTGGTGGAGACCCATCGCGGCCCGTACAATTTTGAGAGGAGGGGCTGTTCCCCAATCAGTGCTTGCACTGAAGGGGTCCTAGCGGAAGCTGAAAGATATTTGGCGAAAATTTCCCGCCGACTTTGGTAGCAGACTGGATTCTCGGATTCCCGGCTCCGAATTCCCGGGTTCCCGGTTCTTGGTTCCGGGCCGATTCTGGTGGGTTCTGGGTTCCCGGGCTCCCGGTCGATCTCCTCAGCGCAAGCCATCCACTGATTGATTTTTTCTGGTGCAATACGATTTTGGCAGTTTTTCCTTTATATATATAACACACAAAAAAGGTGGAGGGGCTGTCGGGGCCTCAAGTGGCCTGGACCCCTGATCTCGCGGAGCTCTCGGGCGGTCCTGGCTGCTGATCCTGAGGCGCGCCGCACGGGGCTCCAAGCCGACGCGCAGCGCGACATTCCTGAGCGATTTCGGCCTCAGGAGGTGAGTCAGGCAAGGTACCCAGGACGTGCGCCGCCCAAGACGGGCCGCAGAGCCCCTGGAGACCCCCCAGGGGCTCAGAGAGGTCTCCGCCCGCCCCCCCCCCACACAGACCCTCTGGGGCAAGCCAGGGACCTTTACATCTGCGGCACCCTCTCTTGATTCATCGAATTGGGCGCCTGACGTGCCACATTTGAAGGCGTCAACAGCTTCCCACTGGATCTTCGGCCCAAGCCACCACCCACTCCGAGAGGGGCCCAAGACAACTCATGCGACAGATTTTTTAACAACTCATGAGACACACTGCGCTCCAAAAGAGCCCGCAGAGGAGCTCACTATGGCCTAAGATGGCCGTGTTTCAAAAGACCACCAAGGCGGCCCAAATGAGCCCAAGATGGCTCCAGACTGCCCCAAGGCAGCCCAAGACGCTCCCA